ATCACCGGCTGGGACCCGGTGATTGACAGCCAAGGCCGTGAATGGCAGCGCGGGTAGGGCACGCATGTGCCCCCTACCCAGAACTGCATAATCATGTATACATGGGATTTTGTGCACCCCTGCAGCAGTATTTCTGCTATAGGGGGCGGAGGTAAAGCAAATAATGATATATATACATTTTTTTTCCTCTCTTTTATCCCTCTTCCTCTATAGAGGGGTCAAAGGACCACCGTGAGGACAAATAAAAGAAAGGAATCCCTCTCTGTCTGTTGGACTAGAAACTTTTTTTTCTTTCTTCAATACACTGCTCAAAAAGGTTGGTTCATTCACTAGTGTGAATGTCTCTGACCAAGCAATCAGAAACAGACTTCATGAGGATGGCCTGAGGGCCCGATGTCCTCTAGTGGGTTCTGTGCTTACTGCCTGGCTCTATTGGCATTTGCCATTGAACACCAGAATTGGCCGGTCCGCAACTGGCGCCCTGTGCTTTTCACAGATGAGAGCAGGTTCACCCTGAGCACATGTGACAGATGTGAAAGGGCCTGGAGAAGCCATGGAGAACACATTATGCTGCCTGTAACATTGTTAAGAATGACCGTTTTGGTGGTGGGTCAGTGATGGCCTGCGGAGGCATATCCATGGAGGGAAGCACAGACCTCTACAGGCTAGACAATGCCACCCTGACTGCCATTAGGTATTGGGATGAAATTCTTTGACCTACTGTCAGACCCTACAATGGTGCTGTGGGTCTTGCGTTCCTCCTGGTGCACAACAATGCCCAGCCTCATGTGGCAAGAGTATGCAGGCAGTTCCTGGAGGATGAAGGAATTGATACCACTGAATGACCCCATGCTCGCCTGACCTAAATCCAATAGAACACCTATGGGATATATTTCGGCCCATCTGCCGCCAGGTTGCACCTCTGTCCAGGAAGCTCAGTGATGCCCTGGACCAAAGCTGCGAGGAAATAACCCAGGACACCCCCCTGTCGTCTCAGGAGCATGTCCCAACTTTGTCAGGCATGCATAGAAGCACGTGGGGGCCATACAATCTACTGAGTACCATTCTGAGTTGCTGCAATGAAAATTCAGCAAAATGGACTAGCCTGCCACATTTTTTCACTTTGATTTTTAGGGTGTCTTTGAATTCAGTCCTCTGTAGGTTGATCATTTTCATCAAACGATGAGGCATCCTTACATCCCCAACACATTACCCAGTCCATATCAGTATAGATATCCAGCATGTTTTCCCCCATTGAGATCTGTGTTTTCAAAGTGTTCCTTTAATTTTTTGGAGCAGTGTATGTTTATATGCTGGAAGCTCAACCAGCAGGTGGCCATTACTTACAAACAAATTCAAACAAGTTGTTTTTCGTGTTAGTTTTGTTTTTGTTTTAATTCCCCTGTTTGGATACATTTGCAGATTTTTATTAAAATCAATAGCATATTCAGGGATTTAATTTGGAGAAAGAAGCCCTCCCCTTGTATAAAATTAGAAGACACTACAACGTCTCAGTGATGCTGGAAAACTAGCAGTACCTAACCCAATGCTATTTTTTTTTCTGCTGCTCAATTGCAGCAGCTGGCAGGCTGGGAATCTGAGAGACCTCCCCCTGGGCTGCTTGCCAACTATTTTTTTCATAAGCTTAAGGGCCGGCCATCATTGCATGTCCTGGGGGGGGGGGGGGTGTTTCATTACCTGCCATGCCTACTCTGGTGTTAATGTGCAAGGTGTGGGTGGAAACTAAGAAAATGATAGGGATCTCTAACCCTACTAGATATACTCCAATATGGAGAAATTATTAGATTCCCGAAGCAGGGGTTTTCCAACTTAGTACAACTCTATGATAATGGAACTCTCAAAGCGTTTGTGCAGCTGAGGATAGAGTTTTCTTTACATCAAAGGTGGTTTTATCAGTTTCATAAACTTCGTCATGCATTATTGGCTCAATTTTCTTCTACAGTAGTGCTTTTTTTTCGCCCACCCCGATGCTGGACAGAATAGGCCAAGCAACATCTACTAAGGGGCTCATTTTGGACATTATTCAGATTTATCAAATAAATTTTTATTGAAGTTCCTGATTCTGTCCAGGGCAGGATGGGAACAGGATATTGGTTCTATTTCAGAGGCGATCTGGGGGAAGATTCTTCAGTCTCTCCCTTCAGTGTCTCTTTCTCCATCACATATGTTAACGCAGATTTTTATTCTTCATAGGGTGTATAGAACCCCTGATTTTCTCTACACCATAGGTCTGAAATTTGACCCTTGTATAAGAGTACCAGAATTAGCACATCTAGCACATCTTTTGTGGCGATGTCCTAAACTCCAGAGATATATGGCAGAGATGGTTGGTATCCTTAATGGGCTTTTTGATGTGAATATTCCCATCAAACCACTCGCATATTTATTGGGCTATGTAGATTCTTTGCTATACACGCTCCCGATGGTGACTACTATTCTGTGGGCACTTTTTGTGACCTTAGGCGGACCTCCAATATCTGACCGGATTTTTGATCTCAACAAGCTTATCTCTTTTGAAAAATCATACATATTTTTTAAAAAAATCAATGAGTAAATTTGATGCTATTTGGTCAAAATGGATTAAATATATGCTTCCTGTATGGGAATAGGTTTATTAAGTATTTAAATTAATCAATTTTTCTTCTTGTCTCAAACACTGGTGTTCATGCTTGGGGAAATACGATATTTCTGTTCCCATTATGTTTAGATTATTAGGCAAAGATGAGGTTATTTTAGGGCTGTCACGCTCTATTTATAGATTTCTATGCTTTAAAGCTGTTACGATAGCTGGCTGTGATATCCTTTTTCATAATGCCATGTATTGTATGTATGGTTTGCTGGTATTTGTTTCTTATGATGAAAAAAAAAGGAAAAAATTAAATGATTTAAAAACGTGTATAAATATAACAAACAGCCCCAATCCTCTTCTTTTTGAGTCCCCGGCTAGCAGTCCTTGGCTCCTCCCCCATGCCAAGTACCCCCAATAGCAAATATCTTGCTACAGGGAAATCCAAGCAGACTCGCACCTGTGAATGGACATTTTACATTCACACGTCAAGTGTGACTAAGCCCCACCCCAGCCCCGTATCCTCATTGGCTCACTGGCTGTGACTGACAGCACGAAGTGCCAATGACTCCCACTGCTGTGTGAACCAATGAAGAGAGAGAGAGCCTCTGCTCTCCCACATATTGCTGGAAGGAGAAGGGGCTCAAATAAGTATAAAAGGGGGCTGGGGGAGCTGCACCTAGGTTGTTTTGTAACCTTTAATACATTAGGGTAACAAAATTAGAAAATACTGATCACTTCCCCAAAGTAGTACAATGTTACTATGGTAACATTACTTTGGTCTTGTGTAATATGAAAAAAAAAAAAGTAATTAAAAAAAAATTGAAAAAAAAAAATTATCAATTTTTTTTTTTGTACTGTCCCCAGTCAAGTGCCCTGATCACCGCCACACCAGTTATATGCTGACCCTGCACTGCACTGGTAACACTATGTAAAAAAAAAAAAAAAAAAAAATTCTGAAAATTCCATTTCTTCATTTTCCAAAAAATTATGACAAAAAAATTACAACTTCAAAAAACTGGCCATGTCTCTTATGAAATACATCGGACTGTCTACTTTGAAAAAAGGGGTCATTTGGGGGATATCTGTACTGTTCTGACATTTTTGGGCCTTAAGAAATTAGATTGGCTGTCAGTACTTCAAGATTGATCAATTTTCAGATCTATACCATAGTTTGTGAACTCTATAACTTTCCTACAGACTAAATAATAAACACCGATTTGGGTTATTTTCACCAAAGACATGTAGCAGAATACATCTTGGCCTAAATGTATGAAGAACAATTATTTATTTGCAAACTTTTATAACAGAAACAAAGAAAAACTTTTTTTTTCTTCAAAGTTTTCGGTCTTTTTTTGTTAATTTAGCAAAAAATAAAAACCCCAGTGGTTATTAAATACCACCAAAAGAAAGCTCTAGTTGTGTGAACAAATTGAGAAAATTTTAGTCTGGGTACAGTGTTGCATGACTGCGCAATTGTCATTAAAAGTGTGAGAGCGCTGAAAGCTGAAAATTGGCGTGGGCAGGAAGGGGGTAAAAGTGCCCGGTATGGAAGTGGTTAATTCTGCACTTCTCTTTTATAGGGCTGGTTCACACCATAGAAATGCAGTCCGGATACGTTTCTGTATGAGTGTTTTTGATGCGTTTCCGTAAATTTTTTCCCTCTCTCTTCAACTTAAATAAGGACGTGTGTTCTGGTGCGTTTTCCTAAATTCCAGTACAGTTTAGTGCAGAATAAAATGCAGCATGTTCTACTTTTTTTCTGGAACACACTGGAAAGTGACCGCATTGGGGTGAACTATGCCACTGGAAATCATGTAACCTACTATCAATGCAATTTTGATGCAGAAAAAAAAACGCTCTGGACTGCACGTTGTGTGAAGTGACCCTTAATCACAGCAGTGTTCCCCTTTTATCATAGATTGTCTATCCACATATAGGATGACAGACGTGACTCCTCCATGTAATCACAAGGTCCCCCCCCACTTCCTGCAGACAGATCACTTGGACACATGAGGACATCCTCTCCAGTAGTAGCAATTCCCCCTCAGTAATACCAAGACTCCACACAGACCAATGAGGAGGATGGCGGGTGTGCAGAGTGACCGGGGGATGGGAGGTATGGGGGGTCCCGGGCACATCTGATCCGGACGGGTCTCCGCCCTTCTGCCTCCTATTTTCGGCTGAGGCCGTACAAGGAGCGGACCGGCTGGGAGGAAGAAGAGGCGGAAGTCAGCCAACCCCACCCTGAGTGGAGCCCACTCACCTGAGACACCTCAGCCGGGCCCCGCCAGGTCCCCTCGCCCTCACATCCCGGGACCCCTCTCTACACAGGACCTCCCGCACCCCTCCGTCTACAAGGACCGGAGCCCAGAAGGCCGCTCATCCCTCATACACATCCCAAGGCACCGACCTTCTCCTCCTCTGACAGCTGCTCCTCCACATCCGCCATCTTCTTCACCCCCTTTTCCTGACTGCGCGCGACCCCTGTGGGCGGACACTGACGTCCCCTCCACGGCCCGCCCCCAGGAGAAGAGACGGGGGGCGCGCCCGGGCTGGGGTGACGAGAGCGCGCTGTGCTGTGACAGGCGGGAGGGGAGGACGGGACTTGTATAGGTTGGTGTGTCCCAGAACCTCACCGCCCACACCGGGGATACCACACGAGTTCAGTTTAAAGTGATCTGGACTTAACAATAAATGAATGAAACCTAAAATTCTAAAGTGCTATGAAGCCTTTCACTGCCGCAGTTTTTTGCACAGATTAAAAATGTACATGTTAGGCCGGAAAGATGAGTCAAACATGGTATATGTTCTGGACGCAGAGACCCTGAGAATGAAACGGTAGTAGCAGGCCCAGACTGGGACAAAAACGAGGACCGTGCATTTCCGACTGAAGCGCCCAAAGCCCAGGGACGGACTGACAACTCATGGGGCCCCTGTGTCCTTGCACAAACTCAAAAAAGCCTATGAAAAAGGTACCGGGGCATTTCATGGGGCCCCCTACTGACCGGGGCTCGCGGGCGGTGACAGAGTTTCCAAATGGTCAGGCCGCCCCAGCCAGGGACCCTTTCCTCAGAAAAAGAAAGGAAGGAAGGAGGAAAAAAACAACAGGAGACAGAGAGAAAAAAAAAGGAAGGAGAAAAAAAAAAGAAACAGAGAAAGAAGAAGGAAAAAGGAAAGGAGAAAAAGAGAGAGAGAGAGAGGGAAAGGAAGGAAGGAGAAAACAGGAGAGAGAGAGGGGAAAGGAAGGAGAAAACAGGAGAGAGAGAGAGGGGAAGGAAGGAGAAAAAACGAAAAAGAGAGGAAAGAGAAAACAGTGAGACAGAGAAGGAAAAAGAAGGAGAAAACAGGAGAAGAAAGAAGGAAGAAGAAAAACAGGAGAAGAGAAGAAAGAAGGGAAAAAAAAAAAGGAAGGAAAAAAAACAGGAGACAGAGAGAGGAAAAGAAAGAAAAAAAAGGAAGGAAAAACATGAGACAGAGAGAGAAAAAAAGAAAAAAGGAGAAAACAGGAGAGAGAGAGGGGAAAAGAAGAAAAAAAAAAAAAAAAAGGAAAAAAAAAAAAAGAGAAGGAAAAAAAAAAAAGGAGAAAAAAAGGAAAAGAGAGAGGGAAAGAAAAAAAAAGGAAAAAACAGGAGAAAGAGAAAAAGAAAGGAAAAAGAAAAAGGAAAAAGAGAGAAAAAAAAAAAAAAAAAAAAAAAGAAAAAAAAAAAGGAAGAAAGAAAAAGGGAAAAGGAAGAAAAAAAAGGAGACAGAGAGAGAAAAAAAGGAAAGAGAAAAAAGAGAGAAAAAGAGGGAAAGAAAAAAGGAGGGAGAGACAGAGAGAAAAAAGAAAGGAAGGAAAAAAACAGGAGAAAAGAGAAAAAAAGAAAAGGGAAGGAGAAAAAGGAACAAAAGAAGGGAAAGAAAAAAAGGAAAAAAGGAGAGAAGAGAAAGAAAAAAAAAAAAAGGAAGAAAACAGGAGACAAAGAGAGGGAAAAAAAAAGGAAGGAAAAACAGGAGACAGAGAGAAAGAAAAAAAAGGAAGGAGAAAAAAAAGGAAGACAGAGAAAAAGAAAGAAAAAAAAAAGGAGGAAGAAAGAAAAAGGAGAAAAAGGAGAAAACAGGAGAAGGAAGAGAGAAAAAAGGAAAAAGGGGGAGAGAAAAGGAAAAAAAAAAAAAAGGAGAAAAGAGGGGGAAGGAAGAGAAAAAAAGGAAGAGAGAGAGGGAAAAAGCAAAAAAAAAAGGGGAGAAAGAGAAAAAAAAGCAGAAAAAGGAGAGAAAAGGGAGAAGGAAAAAAAAAAAAAAAGAAAAAAAGGAAAAAAAAGAGAGAAAAAAGAAAAGGAAAGAAAAAAGAGAACAGAGAGAGGAAAAGAAAAAAAAGAAAAAGGAGAAAAAAGAAAAGGAAAAAAAAGGAAGGAGAAAAACAGAGACAGAGAGAGAGGAAAGGAAAGGGAAAAAAAAAGAGCAAAAAAGAGAGAGAAGAAAGGAAAAAAGGAAAAAACAGAGAAGAGAGAGGAAAAAAAAAAGGAAGGAAAAAAAACAGGAGAGAGAGAGAAAGAAAAAAAAGGAAGGAGAAAAGGAGAGAGAGAAAGAGGGAAAGAAGGAGGAAAAAAAAAAAAAAAAGACAGAGAGAGGAAAAGAAAGGAAGGAAGGAGAAAAAAAAAGAAAGAGAAGGGAAAAAGGGGGAAGGAGAAAAAGGAAAAGGAGAGAGAGAGGGAAAGAAAAAAAGGAGAAAAGAAGGAGAAGAGAGAAAAAAAAAAGGAAAGGAAGGAGAAAAAGAGAGAGAGAGAGAGAAGGGAAGGAAAGAAAAAGGAAGAGGAGAGAGGAAAAAAGGAAGGAGAGGAGAAAGAAAGAAGAGAAAAAAGAGAGAAAGAAGAAAAAAAAAAAAAAGGAAAAAAGAAAACAGGAGAAAGAGAGGAGGGGAGGAGGAAGAAGAAGGAAAAAAGGAAAAAAGAAAAAAAGAAGAGAGAAGGAAAGAAAGGAAGGAAAAAAAAACAGGAGAAGAGAGAGGGAAAAAGGAAGGAGAAAAAAAAAAGAGACAGGAGAGAGAAAGGAAAAAGGAAAGAAAAAGAAAAAAAAAGAAAAGAAAAAGAAAAAGAAAGGAGAGAGAAAAAGAGGAGCAAAGAGAGGAGAAAGAAAGAAGGAAGGAGAAAAAGGGAGGAAAGAGGGAAAAAAGAAGGAAGAAGGAAAAAACAGAAGACAAGAGAAAAAAAAGGAAGGAAAAAAAAAGAGAAAAGAGAGAGGGAAAAGAAAAGGAAGAGAAAACAGGAGACAGAGAAGGAAAAAAAGGAAGGAGAAAAAAGAGAAGAGAGGAAAAAGAAGAACAAAAAAAAAGAAAAGGAAAAAGAGGAAGAAAAAGGAAGGAGAAAGAGAGGAAGAGGGAAAGGGAAAAAAGGAGAGAAAGAGAGAGACAGAAGAGAGAAAAAAAAAAAGGAAGGAAGGAGAAAGAGAGGAGAAGAAGAGAAGGAAAAGAAAGGAAGAAAAAAGGAAAAAAAAACAGGAAAGAGAGAAAAAAAGAAAAGAAGGAGAAAACAGGAGAGAGAGAGAGAGACAAGAAAAAAGAAAGGAAAAAAAAAACAAAAGAAAAAGAGAGGAAAAAAAAAAAGGAAGAAAAACAGGAGACAGAGAGAGGAAAAAAAAAAGGAGAAAACAGGAGGAGAAAGAGAGAGAAGAAAAAGGAGAAAGAAAGAAAGGGAAACAGAGGACAGAAAAAAAAAAAAAAAAAAAAAAGGAAAGAATAAAGAAGAGAGGAAAAAAGAAAAAGGAAGGAAAAACAGGAAAAGAGAGAGAGAGAAAAGGGAAGAGAAAAAGGAGAAAGAAGAGGAGAAAAAAAAGGAAGGGAAAACAGAAGAAGAGAAGGAAAAAAAAGGAAGGAGAAAAAAGAAACAGAGAAAAAAAAAAAAAAGGAAGGAAACAGGGAGAAAAGGAAAAGAAAGGAAGGAGAAAAAGAGTGGACAGGAGGAAAAAAAAGGAGAAAAGGAGAAGAGAAGAGGGAAAAAAAAAAGGAAGAGAGGAGAAAAGGAAGAAGGAAGAAGAGAAAAAGACGGGGGAGGGAAAAGAGGAGAAAAAAAAAAAGAAAAAGGAGAAGAGGAGAAGAAAAGAAAGGAAGAAGGAAAAAGGAGAAGGAGAGAGGAGAAAGAAAGGAAGGGGAGACAGGGAGGAAAAAAAATGGAGAAAAAAAGGAGGAAAGGGAGGAAAAAGGAAAGGAAAATACAGGAGACAGAGAGAGAAAGAAAGGAAGAAAGAAAGGAGACAGAGAAGAAAAAGGAAGAAAGGAGGAGAAAAAGAGAGAGACAGGGAGAGGAAAAGAAAAGGAATAAGGAGAAGGAGAGAGGAAAAAGAAAGGAGAATACAGGAGACAGAGAGGAAAGAAGAAAGGAAGGAGAAACAGGAGACAGGGAGAGGGAAAAGAAAGGAGGGAGAATACAGGAGACAGAGAGAGAAAGAAAGGGAGAAAGAAAAGAAAGGGGAAGGAGGGAAACCGGAGAGGGAGAGAAGAGAGAGAGAGGAAAGAAAGAAAGAAAGAAAAAGAAAGAAAAGAAAGGAAAGAAAGAAAGAAAGGAAGAAGGAAGGGAGAGAAAACAGGAGACAGAGAGAAAAAAAGAGAGAAGTATAGGGGAAACACAGGAGGAAATAGAGAGAGAAAGGAAGAAGGGAAGAGAAGACAAGGCTGGCAGGGAATGTGGGCAGGGCAAAAAAAAGGAGGAGAAGAAGGAGGGAAAGAAGGAAGGAGGGAAAAAAACGGAAAGAAAGCAGGTAGGGAAAGAAAGGAGGGAAAGAAAGAAGGTGGAAAAAAAACAGGGAAATAAAGCAGTTAGGGAAAGAAAGAGGGGAGGAAAGAAAGAGGAGAAAAAAGGGAAGAAAGAAAGGAGGGAAACAGGAGTCAGAGAGAGAGGAAAGAAAGGAAGGAAGGAGAGAAACAGGAGACGAGGAGAGAAAAAAAAAAAAAAGACGTATAGAAAGAAAAAACGAAGGAGGGAAGGGGGGGGGGGGAGTGAAGAAGGGGTAGAGAAGACAAGGCTGGCGGGGAGTGTGGGTGGGGCAGACAGCTTTCTCCTCCCTCGTCTGTGGTGGGTGGGGACTGTCAGCACTGAGGATAGAATATGCTGACATATCCCCCACAGCGTTGCCTGAGATTGGGGGGTGGGGGGTTTGCTGGCCGAAGAGGGAGCATACAGGAGCCCACTGCATGCAGGAGATGGATAGGAGGGGCATCTGGGCGGCACATAGAGGAACCACGTCTCCTATTAAGGTGGGCCCCAGCTGACCGGGCAAATGCCGGAGTGCCCTATGGCCAGTCCGGGCCTGGGTAGTAGTGCCAGTTTTCTTATCTTACACAATATTAGTGCAACAGTTTATCAAACCCATATTTTCAGTAAAATATACATTTAGGTTGATTTCACTGCACTTGTGTTTAATGTGATTATAATGCCTAAACTATTTTTTACATTAATGCATTCCCTATCAGGGTTT